TTCTGCAGGAAGTCCAACCCAGATGTAAAGAAATTTATGGAGCAGCAAGGTTTTGGGGATGACTACAGAAAACTGGAATCTTTTTACATCCAGAAGTCTGTTTCTCATTTAAACTTCAGTCTTCTGCTCATTTTCCGATGTTACAAACCTCTCATCAATATTTGTTTTTCTTTTTTGACAGACTCTTGGATATTGTCACCAGTAAAGAGAAGGGCTACATGATCTGGCAGGAGGTCTTTGACAATGGTGTGAAGGTAAAGTCATGTGTGTTCCCACTGAGAGGCTTTATATCTGATTCGTTTATTCTGATTTAAATGATATGGTATAAAACAGTGCTACAGTTTTGTTATTCCACTAAGGTTTTTACCATAAAACAATGGACAAAGTATATTATTATTATTATTATTATTATTATTATTAGTGGCATTTTTTAAAGTTAAACCCTACATCATACAACACCACACCTGTCCTTTCTGACTTTGTGATCTGACTTTACATTGTGAGACACTTTATTGGATACCAAAAAACAGAAGTATGAAACATACACATACAGTATATCTGAAAAGTTACAATTTAATATGCATTTTTTATTTTAAAAAGTTAGCCTTTGGCGTGCCTATAGAGGTAGCCTGGACCGAGTTACATTTTTTAGAATGTAAATCGAGACATTTCCCCAAATGTTGCATTATTCCATTAAGTGCTCAGTCTGGCTTGTAACAATTGCAGCTAAAGCCTGATACAGTAGTTCATGTGTGGATTGGCGGTGGGGCTAATGATGAGATGAAGAGGGTGACAACAGCAGGATACAAGACCATCCTCTCCGCCCCATGGTACCTAGATTATATTAGCTACGGACAGGACTGGCAGAGATACTACAAGGCCGAGCCCCTCAACTTCAACGGTCAGTCAACAGAAAATGTCTGCTCTGGGGTTGGCATGCTTTATTCAACAGGTGTACACTTTAAATATGCACAGTTGTGACAGAAATCCAGAGTGTATCAGATATGATCAGCGACCATGGGGCAGTGCGGTTGGTCGGTAGAGTCATATATGTCGGCCTTTGGTCACTGATATGGAGGACCAACCCTGATGTATTCAGGTCCAGCAGCAGGATTAGATCAGTTTCATATAAACATGTAAATACTGGGGCTGCAGCATATGTTCAGAACCAATTCACAAAAACACATTTGTGGCATTGAACTAGACTGTTTAAAGATAAAATTGAAATGATCCCCCTAAATAAAAACCATATACAGACAGTCAAGGTCATAGGAGATGTCTTTCTCGGAAACTCTGGAAGGCTCAGACGTGTGTACTTTTCCCTCCCCTCCCTAATTTTTGATCATTATTTTAGGTTAATTACTGATGTCTGTATGTATGTGTGCTGTGTAGCTAAAGCCAGACACATTAATCCATGTCTGGAAGGGAAACCAGCAGCAATACCAGAGCGAGATGGCAAATGTTACAGCCTCAGGTTACCAGGCCCTGCTGTCCACCCCCTGGTACCTGAACCGTATCTCCTACGGGGAGGACTGGAGGGGCATTTACCGCGCTGACCCACAGGATTTCCAGGGTTTGTGTCTGCATGACTTCTTTGATTGGCCGGGCCTTTTGGACTTTGTGTTGTATTTCTTTGAGTCAGGGTTCAAACACTCATGTGATTCTGTTTTACAGCTTTGACTCTTTTTTTTTTTTTTTAGTTTATTGCTTGAAGCTTGTTACAGAGCTGAAAGTTATCCCTGTGCATATGTGTAGGCCTGTTGAATGAAGAGGGAATATTGGATTTAATTCTTACAGCAAATTAAACTGAAATAAATGTGGTTACTGTCAGCGGTGCTGCTGGTTCTCATTAAACGCTTCATTCGTTATCCAGGAACAGATGAGCAGAAGAAACTTGTGATTGGTGGAGAGGCCTGTCTGTGGGGAGAATATGTTGATGCCACCAACCTTACACCCAGGCTCTGGTACGACTCGTGTGCTTCTTTTAAGTTTACATGTCAGCTGGAGGCGTGATGACACCCTGAGGAGGTCTGTTGTTTTCTTGATTTTCTCGTCCTCTGCTTGTCTTAGGCCTCGTGCCAGTGCTGTGGCAGAGCGTCTTTGGAGCGATAAGAATGTGACAGACATCAGTGACGCCTTCAACAGGCTCTCAAGGCACCGCTGCCGCTTGGTGGAGTAAGTCAATATTGTGTCTTTATACTTGTCTATCAATTCTCTGTTTTAGGTAGTAGTAGCAGTTTCCATAATATTTACCGCGACATAGTGCGTTAACGTTTTGCAAGGGAAGTACTTGGCAAGCGCAGTGGACGGATAAATTGTAACATGGCGCTATAGGCAGAAGACGGCTTTGTATACGTTCACCAGTTGTACACCATACATAGCTCTAAATTGAATTTCTTTCCTTTGTGTTGTTTTTTGGGAACTTTTTGCCCTCCATTATGGCTCTCAAGCTTAGGTCAAGCGTGCGGTTTCTGATGATTTTATGTCCCACCTTATGACGTTACCACTGTGTTAGTGTAGGTGAGCGACATAGGTACTTATGTACAGTATGCGAGTACCATCTTACAACAAAAATCATGTTACATTGCACCGCAGTAACAGAATTCCGATGTAAGTCGTTGTTTAGTTGAACACAGCACTGATACACTCGCAGGAATTGAAGAAAACACACACAAAGAGCTTCACCAGCTCTGAGTTCCTCTGTCTTTGTTTTTATAACAATCTGCTACTATTATTTAATTGTTCTGGCTGTTTTTTTCCCTAAGGCGTGGGATCCCTGCTGAGCCGCTGATTTCCAGCTTCTGCCCCAATGAGTACAGAGGAATATGAATACAGCAAAGGAGCAGATCACACGGATGGAAAAGGGAAGGAAATCATTCAAATTTGCACACAATTTCCATCTGCCTCTAAACTGTGTAAAATCACTTGCTGAACATGTGTTATTTGCATACACTAACAAATCAACACCTGCTACATGGAAACCTTTTTGCATTGAACATTTTGACAATGTTTTTTTAATCTGCTGCAGTAAAAATAGAAAATCCAGAATTTGCTGTAACAATCTTGTTTTATACCTGTTTGTATAATTGATTGTGAATAAATAGATAAAATGAAATACTCTGATTGCTGCTCTGCTGTTCAAGTATTATGGAAGTTAAACACGTGTCCATTTTATTCCTTTTAAGGTCTTTGACATTACAGACCTACAGATCTGATGTCACAGAGAAAGTCTGTTTTGGCTGAAGCAGTGTCCATGTCACTGACGGCCAGTCTTCCTATCCCACTAATCTTCAGCTTCACTGCATCAGGAATCAAAACCCACCCATTTTCTTCAGCAGCATGTTTTGGTCCTGAGGGTTCATGGCCTCGTAAGTGTCCAGCTCCAGAGAACATGTGGCGTTTCCAGATGTTAGGGATCGCAGGACGGTGGAATAGCCCTTTAAAAGAAAATGTGTGATAAGAAAATTAAGTAAAGTATAAATCACTGTTTTAAAAACAGCATAGTCACAACAATAAAATACCATCTCACCATTATTTCCGCTAAGGGCACGGTAGCTAGCAGCACCTTGTCGTCATGGCGACTCTGGATGTCTCTGACAGTACCACGTCTCTGGGCCAAGTCTCCCAGCACAGAGCTGAGGTACTCCTCCCTCACTGTCACCTCCAGTGACATCACAGGCTCTAAGAGTTGACCTCCGGCGAGCTTCAGTGCCTGGGGTCACACATCAAACAGTAGATTATACACCGACACCGAGGCAGCTAAGAGCTGTGACATCACATTTGCTGTTAATCAGCGACCAAATACTGCGATAGGTTTACAGGTTTCACCAGTACCTTCTCATCTTAGATCTATGGCTTTACCTTGAGCATGCAGCGGGACACGCAGGCAGAGACCATGGCCGGAGATGTTCCTGGCTCCACCCTGACACTTTGGATCAGTGTAGTTACACCCTGTACTGGGTAAGCGAGTAATGGACCTGAAATTATGAGCAGACATTGGAAATCAACATACATTTAAATAAACATATATTTCAGTTTGAGGAAGTTAAAACTGAAGTTAATACCAACATTCTGTAATAACTATAAAGTACTTCTTAATCTTTATTGATGTTCTGAGACATCCTGCACTTTTCAGGTACATTTTCTTCAAAAGAAAATGATTTAAACCTAATATTTTTTCATTTGCTGTCACTCTCTCTTCACCTTTGTCGATCAATTTGATTAAATGTTATTATTGCTAATGTAGGAATTCATGAAGTTACAAGTCAGATTTGTTGAGAGTATCACATTTACACTGCATTCCCATGTGTATTTATAGTATGTTTTCCATTTTGTATTTACTGTCACACATTAATATTTTGTTTTTGTTTCAACATAGACCCGATACCTTGAAGGTATGAGCTTTGTACTCCGTTTCTCACTGCCTCTTTCATTTCCTCCGATAACTGTTCTGCAGCTTTCTCTGCAAAGGTCGATGAGTCACACGAACCGTCTGCAGAGGACGTGTCCGCAGGTTTGACCTCCAGTTTTACCGTCACCACATGTCTTCTCTCCCCGATAGTACGATCCAGTGTATCTACGTCATAGGAAAGTAGAAAATCAATACAAGATGTAGTTTATTTTTTTATGAATTTATCACAGAAATCGAGGCGTGGCTTATATTCTGATGTATATGTATATATGTATGTGTGTAAATATATTTATATATATATAAATATATATATATATATAAATATATATGTATATATGTATATATATATATATATGGATTGAGGTACTAAGGTACACATGCATTACCTTCAGCAGAGGCCTCATGAAGGACAGTCTCCCTGTAGGCCACCTGCAGTGGTCCAAGGTGAGTCTCGATTCTGTACTCTCTTCTGATTCGATCATGGATAATCTCTATGTGCAGCTCTCCCATTCCACATAAAATAGTCTGTGAATACAAATTACACAGAACATTCATTTAAACTGGAGATATGAAGAGTCTAACCCAGGCATGAGAAAACTAAGGCCGGTCCAGCCCAAACTTTTCCAAATTATATAATTTATTTCAATTATCATTATACTTCTGCCTTTTCCCTGCAATACCCATGTTTCCCCAATAGTTGGTGTAGAAAATGACAAAAGTATTTTAGCCTTTATGCATGACTTTTACATGTCATTTATCCTAGTTCACACTAACGCTCCAGCTTTCTCCTCCTGACCCTGTTCAATTCTAGGACAATTGTGGCCCGCGAGTCAAAACTTTTGCCCACGTCTGGTAAAATGACTGTACTGCTGTGGTCTTACCTGGCCAGAGTCGGGGTCAATCCTCACTTTCAAACTGGGATCTTCTCTCTGGAGGCAATGAAGTGCATTCTCGAGATCTTTTAGAGGAAAAAAAAAACAACAAACTCTTCAGAGGCTGTGAAAGTTCCTGAGGAGAAGAAAGCTGCTGAGAAAAGACCACCATCACTAACCAGCCTGTTTGGCCATGGTGGGAGGTTCTATTGTGCAAAAGAAAACTGGCTCAGGGACCTCCACTCCAGATAGTATCACGTCTCTTTGCTCCTTGAGTTTCTTCAGCCCACCGGCCTCGGTTTGCGCTCGGCGAGCTGCAGCCGCAGCGGAGGCTTTGGATGACACGATGGTGTCACCTGTCACTGTCTTCAATGACGGAGAGCAAGAAAAGACAAATGAGAAAAAAACAACCTCCTGGGTGTAGTACACAGAGGTCTACTGTACCTGTTTGAGTCCTACAGTCATTGCAATGTTCCCTGCAGTCATAGAGGCGACTTCTACATGTTGATCAGCAAATGGCACCAGCAACCTAGTCATCCTTTCACTGCACATAACAAAGTCACATTACAGTAACAATTTCGACCTGTATGTAGTATATGAAGTACACTGAGGGTTGTATTACTGCAGTGAGTACTGCGTACGTGCTGTTCCTGTTGATGTTGTGGACAGCCGTCTGTGGTTTCAATGTACCCGAGTAAATTCGGAGAAACACCACAGGGCCGCGCTGCTTCTCATGGACAACCTTGAAGGCCAGAGCACACAAGTCGTCCTTGTACCAGCGCCTGTAGAATCATGAATTAAACAGACAATCAATTCATTACATGTGTATAAACACTCAAATCAGGAATCAGATTTTTTTAAAGTAAAGAATGTTCAAAACAGTGTTCATTTAAATTTAAATCCAGTCTTAAACTTAGTCTGTGACTAAAACATTAAGTCTTTGTCCCAATTTAGTCTATAGAACTGTTTTAATTTTAGTTTCGTTTTGGTCGACGAAATATCAAAAGTATTTTAGTCGACGAAACTTAAATGATACAATTAAGATGAAATGCATAATAATAATACATTTTCTTTTAATAAAATTTGCTTTATGAAATTTAATTTAGACTTTCATGGCATTTAATAGGAAACTGTTTTATTGCACACTAGTATTATTTATAATAATGTTCCCCAGGACCATTTCTGTTAATGTAGAGGATTTTTTCCAGCTGTGCGAGTTTAAAGGATATGATATTAACTCACACTAAGTCGTGCAGTCGTTCATTAGGAGCAGGCAGGTAGTCGATGATAGCGTCCAGAAGAGGCTGGACACCCTTGTTCTTTAAAGAGCTCCCACAGAGAACAGGGACACCTTTACGGGCCAGAGTCAGCCGCCGTACAGCCTCTTGTACCTTTAGATACATTTTTAAAGTTTACTCCACATTATAAAGCAGCTTTGATTCTGTATAGCAGCATTAACCGACCCATGGAGTACTAGCTACAGTTACTCACCTTGGCAGAGGGAACGGCATCAAAATTGTCACTAAAATCATTTAGCAACAGTTCAGCAAACTCGTCATCCAGATCAGCAACCTGTGTTTGGGAACAAAAAATGTTTGTATATTAAAAGTCAAATCAAGCTTATTTTTAATCGAGTGAATATAACTGAAGTCCACCTGCTCCAGTAATGCCGCCCTGGCCTCACTGATGTCCTTCATCAGTCCTGGCTCATCATAGCCGTTTACAGATTCTGTTGCAAACTTCCGTCCATCGTCAACTAATACTGACGATTTCAACTTCCACGTCAGTTTCTGCTTTGTTATCAGATCGACTACACCAGTGAAGTCCCTCCCACTGCCGATGGGAATCTACAAAAACAAGATGCAAAAGATTAGTCAAATTGATGACATAGTTTTAACATTTTCTCTGTTTATTGATTTTGTCTGTAGAGTCAATGTCAAAGTCATGAATGAGCGTTGACTGTAGGACAGCGTACCTGCAGGAGGACTGGGTTGGCTTTGAGCTTCTGTTTAATGCTATCAATAGAAAATCTCAGACTAGGAACAAAAGAATACAGAGTTTCCAGTTATTTAAAAAAAAAATACCCAGTGAAAAGTACCCAATGTGACTACTGAAATACTCACTTAGCCGTTGGTTTGTCCATCTTATTCAAAAAACAGACACAGGGAATGTGGTGTTTTTCAGCTTGTCTCCACACAGTCAGTGTCTGTGCCTGCAGGTGTGTTTAGGATGAGAGAAGCAACAACTGTCAGAAGGCAAGGTATTTTTTTTTTAATTGAGATGTAAGAAGACATGGATTTTAACCTCAACCCCTGCAGAGGCATCAAATACTGCGACAGCACCATCCAGAACACGAAGTGCCCGCTCCACCTCAAGTGTGAAGTCGACATGTCCTGTAATCAAATCACGCTAGTTCTAGTGGCTGCACTTAGTTGAGTAATCATTCCATAATTCCTGTTGTCACCTGGTGTGTCTATGAGGTTTATTCTGTGACTCTTCCAATCAAACGTAACGGCTGCTGATTGTATGGTTATGCCACGCTCCCGTTCTTGAGCCATAAAATCAGTGACTGTGTCTCCATCGTCAACATCTACGAAAAAAAATAGGTTTGAGATTAAAAACCACAACCCTGACAGTCTCAGAATAATAGGAAAATCATCATTGTCGTTCTCTTGCACACCTCCAAGAGCTCGCGTGTAACCAGAGTAGTAAAGCATTCTCTCTGTGGTTGTCGTCTTTCCCGCATCAATGTGGGCCATGATGCCAATATTCCGAATCCTACAACACACATTTATCAAATTGATCAGGGGGAACAACAACAAGTGCATCTATTACAACTACTAACTCTGTAATAAAGTTCCTTACTTTGATATATCAGGGTTGACAACAGCCCGCAAAGATTTGACATCATCTATGGCAACAAACACAAATGTGTTATATGATCTTAAATGTTTAATCTGTTTGTTTTGTTTTTGTATTATCACTTAGCTTCTTGACATACACAAATCAAAGTGGCTAATAACATACCTGGCAGAAAGCTGTAATGTCTCTTCATGTGATGGCCCATTCTACATCTGAAGCAGTGAAGCCCCAGAGTAAATAAATGTCTTTCCTGTTCGAAATAAATAATTAAGAATATATTTTTTTGTAACTAAAACAGATTTTGACAAAAACTGTATTGCGTTTTCCCTTACCCAAATCATCCTGCTAGTTGTCATAACACTCATGATTAATTGCTTTATTTCCTCCAATTTCTATTGTAATAATTAAAATAAGCTAAAGCCATAGTAAAAGACCATTAATTAAAGAGGGTTTGGGTGAAAAATGCCAACTCTTTTCGTATGACAACACCATGATAACGACAAAACATTTAGCAGAAAAGCGAGGATTTCCACAGCAGGATAGCTTTCAACAAAAAACACAACACAAAGTAGTTAAATAAAATGTCCTTCAAAACAAAATCATCTTTCCGATAGTCGAGACATATCACGCTTTGAGTACCACCCAAAAATGTGTTTTGAGAAACAAACATCTGAGGATTATAGTTCCGAGCACGAAAGAAATCCCCGTTACGTCAATATTTACACATTTCGAATTATTTTATTCTATATATTTTTAAAAACAAAAAATATAATTTACAGCAATTATAATTTATTCGATTTGTTTTGTTTGTTAAAATAATAGATACAGCGGGCTTATTCTCTCACCGGAAAAGCGTTACGCTGTCACGTCGTACTTCCTTTAAGTTCCGGCCCTGGGTAAAAACAACACCTGAAACCCCAGGCTCAAAAGAAAATCCCCAGTATCCTACATCTTTGTCAAGTATTACCACCTGCGACGTATTAACTGCTAAGAAGAACACCTTAAACACAAAATGGTAAGAACACAACTTTTATTGCCGTCTTTTCACTTAAAAAAACTGTTTAAAACATTAGCATCTGTTGTAGCATTAGCTTAGGTTTACATGTGGCATGGGAGCGTGTTTGTATGTTTATATGACGATAGTTTTACATCTACTGACAGCTGTAGCTATGTGTAAGGTTATAAACACATATTGTTGTCTTTGTATAGTTGTGCACTTCGATTGTAGATGTCGACATTTTTTTCATTATTCTGTATTTTTACTTAACATGAGTTACATCTATTTGTGTCATAGAAAAATCAAGGCACCTAAAAAGTTCTGCTTTTTTTTTTCAAATACCACACGGTACCATAGAAATGATGGGATGGTGTGATTTTTGTTATACTTATCGTGTTGACATTGGATCGAAATTTAAAACCAGTTTATTTTTAGTTGATTGAATTTTATGTATAGTTATGCGGACAAAAGTATACTATTCACAACAAGAAAAAAGACGCAATTTCGTATAACGTCTACCGTTTATGAACACATGTTATGTATTACTAGGAAATATATGCTGTTTACCCAATGAGCCATAATTTGTAGAATATAGTAAAAAGAGAAAACTTTCAAATAAATAATTTAATAATTATGGATTACTGGTTACAAACATAAGTTCATACTCTATTGCAGGGCGCAAATTTAATCAGGTTTAAGTATAAATAGTATAAAATAATAAAATTAACTTGTACAAAGTGTTTCTAACAGGAATAAGTTATATATTAACACCATTTGTAATCCAGACTCCTCATGCTTGACACATCCAAACTAATTGTGTAGTTTTAATACAACACAAAGCTGTAGTGTTTTGTGAAGCTGTATAACTGCAACAATTGTATGCAAAGTATTTGTTTGAGCCACTTATAAAATGCTTATATTTATTATTTTGTCATCCACCAGACTCGCTGCTTGCATTGACAGAATTGAAATTAAATGTTATTTTTTTTATCATTATTATTTTTAGCCTCAGAACGAGCACATTGAGTTGCACCGCAAGCGGCATGGATACCGCCTGGACCACCATGAGAGGAAGAGGAAGAAGGAGAGCCGTGAGGCTCATGAGCGCTCTCACAAAGCCAGGAAGATGATCGGCTTGAAGGCCAAACTCTACCACAAACAGAGACATGCAGAAAAGATCCAGATGAAGAAAACGTGAGTATGAGAAGGTGAAAAGTTGTTTGGACACATGCTAGTGTAGAGAATGAAACCTGAGTCCAACCTGTATTTTTGGCAGTATTAAAATGCACGAACAGAGAAAGACCAAGCAGAAGAATGACGATAAGACCCCCGAAGGAGCCGTACCAGCCTACCTTTTGGACAGAGAAGGACAGTCACGAGCTAAAGTCCTTTCCAATATGATCAAACAAAAGAGGAAAGAGAAGGCGGTAAGTAGCACCTTACACTTTTTTTGTAAGTACAACCATTTTGAAATGGTTGTACAGACGGGTGGAAACCACTCCAATGTTTCTGACAGTCAAGAATGTCATGTGTTCTGTAGGGCAAATGGGAGGTGCCCCTACCAAAGGTGCGCGCTCAGGGAGAGACAGAAGTGCTGAAGGTCATCAAAACTGGAAAGAGGCAAAAGAAAGCCTGGAAGAGAATGGTCACAAAAGTTTGCTTTGTCGGTGATGGCTTTACTCGTAAACCTCCAAAATATGAACGTTTTATCAGACCAATGGTAAGAAATTCACAAAGTAAATATTTTAATTTTTTTTTTTTCCTACAGAAGTCATAAAATACAATTTCTTTTTTATTCTTCAATCGTAACTGACTCTTGCTCCTTCCTATATTTCAGGGTTTGCGCTTTAAAAAGGCACATGTTACACATCCAGAGCTGAAAGCCACATTTTGTCTTCCCATCCTCGGAGTAAAGAAGAATCCTTCCTCACCATTGTACACCTCCCTGGGTGTCATCACGAAAGGCACAGTTGTGGAGGTCAACGTCAGCGAGCTGGGTCTTGTAACACAAGGGGGAAAGGTTATTTGGGGTGAGTGTTCAAAGTCTGTGTAAGCATTTTACTTTAAAGTTAAAATTTTATTTCACAGAAATAGTCACTGCTTTTTTTTTTTCTTTTTTTTTTTGAGCAGCAAAACTTGAAACATTGTGTCCACACTGTTAATTTGACAATGATGTCGTGACTCGTCTTTGTTCTGCTTCACAGGTAAATATGCTCAGGTGACAAATAATCCAGAAAATGACGGCTGCATTAATGCGGTGCTGTTGGTGTAAGACTCTCAAAATGGACTTGTCCTGGTAACTTTTGATCTACACCAGGTAAATGAACACAAAGAAACTACAAATCAATGGACTTACAGGAAGATCTCGGACGCAGCTCAACTTTTTTGGATACTTGCATAAAAAAATATAACGGGGATAACGTTGTGTAAAATCTGATGTCAATAAACTTGATATGATAAAACAAATGATTTTGTTTCTTATTGTTTAATCATTAATAAAAACATTATTGTATGTACAGTATGGTGTTATTAATTTTAGAAAAAAGTTTTGTTCATTTTATGACCAACAAACAGACTCGTTGGTCATGAAATTAACAAAATTCTAAACATATTTATATGTATTTTTAATGTTTTGTCTGTGTATATATACCCCTACATACATGTATATATATATTTGTGTATATATGTATGTATGTATATATGTGTTTGTGTGTATGTATATATATAGCTATGTTTTTTGAGTGTGACTATCCATCAACATCAAGTGGCACTATTTGCTTGCCATACTTTCTGCAGCACTCTGTTATGTAGTAGGGCCATCAAGTACTTTATTTGAATCACTGTCATTCCTAGTAAACTGCTCCACCCCTCAATATGAGAAACACTGTTGTAGCTTAGCCCCACTCATGGGGCAGCGGTGGCTTAGTGGTTAAGGAAGCGGACTTGGGTCAGGTTCGAATCCACCAGCTCCCCGGGCGCTTAAAGCTGCCCACTGTTCACTTTGGTGATGGGTTAAAGCAGAGGTCACATTTGGTTGTGTGCAGTGGTGAGCTGTGTCACAGTGACAAGGAGTTCACTTTCCATATCTGCACAATAAAACACACTCTAGACTTAAGTGTATTCACAGCACTGCAAATACAAAGTCCATTTATGATTGTGATTAAATATCAACTACTGCATTTTCTTCCCTGATACATTTGCCAGTTACTAGTAAAACAAAATGGCATGGACACCTGGCCTGCATTAGTTGTACATACAGTTCCTTAATTATAGTGAGTTTGATTTAAACCAATTTAAAAAATAAATAAATGCTTTATTTTCTGTGCACTTGATAAATCACCAGAGGGGAATGACATTTGATTCTGCATTTATTTTTTAAACAAAATACAAAGAAATGTGTTCTCAGTTTCACCTCACTGATGTGAACCATACAGTTCATCGGTACAGTTCTTCAATTCCAATGTAAATTATATTAGGACAACTTCAGAGTCTAATTGACCACAGGTATAAATGTCTTCGTATCCACACTGTAAAAACTTCACTTAAAATGTCCTTATTGTGCAATAAAATACTGACACAGGAAAACTCTTAACATTTTATTTTTGATTTGTTAACCAGATTGCCAGAGTTTGTAGCAGAGTTTTTTTTTTTAAATGTTGATATTAGATCAGCATCCATGTCATTTGAAGTGAAGCAAAATTAAGGTTAAAAGCAATTTTCTTTTTTGAAAATACAGTCCTACTGAATTTAGGAATATAAATATTTCACATTGTTTCAACGGGACTATTGAGATAGATTCATACAAAAAAAAAAAACATGATTTTAAAAAGCCTTTCAGCCTTTCTTACAAAAGTCATCCAATTTCTTTTGTTAACTGTCTGCTATTAGATTAAAAGACTTCTTGTCCTGAGTTCCTGTAGTGTTCTCCTTCAGCTGCAAATACAGTGGGAAACACAAACGTAGCATCCTCACTCTCGGAGCTAATATCCATAGACTGAGATGTTTTTGAAACATAATAAATTAGATACAAGAAGTTTGTAAAAGCAAATCCTGCTCACGTTAGTTGAACTGGTGTGATACGGTGACAATTATCTAACAGTGAGACTCAGTGTAGAAAACCCCACCCACAATGTCCAGCTCTGGAATTAAAAAGTGTAGAAAACCCCGCCCACAATGTCCAGCTCTGGAATTAAAATGAAGGCCCATAAGTACTACTACTATATTGACATCATGACAGTTGGATTTAAGGCAGGTATTCAACAGGATTACATCTGAAAATGAATCAATATAGACACCATGACAGGGCTCTAAAGAAATTAGCACCGCTTTTGAAGATTTGTAATTTATGTGGGGCAAAGACATTTCTTTTTTTTTTTCTTTTTTTAAATGACGGTTCACTAGTCTTTTTGATTCATCACTTGAGTGGCACAGTTGTTACCCTTCAGTCTAAGTCAAATGCAACATTAGTGAAGGTTTGGCAATGTCTTCTGTACAGAGACTTCCTGTGAGGTCCGCAGCTCCACTTCTTCTCTGTAGTCATTGGCTGACAGCTGTGTCGTCTTTTCTTTTTTTTTTCTTTTTTTTTAAAGTGCACTTAGTGTCCGAACACAGCGTTTGTCCCATCACGCCGTTATACATAATAGTCCAACTTGCTCTCTATCGTTTTGCAGCCTTTGATGGAAAATATTCTCTCACTTTTGGGGAAGTAAATTAAATCTTTGGCCACCTGGTCTGCCACCTTCTCGTCCACCTTCATTTCTCTCGCTTTCATCTCGGCTATGATGCACTGGACGACGTGCTTGTATTCCAGAGGCAGTAACGGAACAAAGAAGTCCACCAGGTTCTTGTCAATGAGGCTGGTGCGGTAAAAGCCACCTACGGTGAAAGATTGACGGACGTTTGCAAATTAACTCTCACCCGAACTCTTTGTCACTGAAAACTTCAACAGTGTGTGAACCTTCCACTTACTTTTGTTGTTGTTGAACACTGACAGAGACAGCAGCGTTTCCAGGTCTTTGAGCTCAATATCCTCTCGTTGTTGTCCCGCTTTCCAGAAATCTAAAGCCGTCTGTGCGATGCTGTCGCCTCCAGCGTTGCTGTCAGCAAAATCAGGAACACACGAAACATAAAGGAGCAGAACTCGCTCGACAACATATGCAAATCGGTGAGTCTAACAATCTGATGATGATTCTAGTGTGCTGTTCGCCTCTTAGAAAGCAACACTTTTCCCACAGAGTTATGACTAAAATTACACTGAAAATATTTTTATACTTTGTATATCTTTCTTGACATTTTTCTATGAATTTGTTAGCCCTCATTTACTGTATGATGATGGGTTAAAGAGACACTATGCAACTATGGACTATTGCAACAATGAAAAATCACTTTCACTTTCTTCTTCACACGTGCTGAATCACAGTAATCTCCTTCCACTTGACCTTCACCTTGTTTTGGGAACTTGGGAATTTGGGAACTGCTCCTTTTCTGTAGCCCAAAAAGGTACTATCTAAAAACTGCAGTTATTAAAGGGCTACAAAATGACAAAAACTTTTTAATGAAAGTCTTCAAATGTTCACCTAAGAAAAATGAAGATGGCTTTGCGATACGAGACACCGTCCAGCTTTTCGTAGTAGTCCAGAAATGGTTTAATGCCGTCAATCAGTCCTGGATGCATCTTGTCCATTTCGTCAAAGATGAACATGGAGCGTTCGCAGTTGGTGACGTTGCCTTTGACCCACTGTTGTAACTGAGACTTAAAAAAAAGAAGTATAAGGTGTCATTAAACAAAGAAATGCATCAATTTCTGACTAACTAGAATAAATCCACCCCTGATTACCTTGTATTGAATATAGTGGCTTTGGTGAGGGAAGTGCAATGTGGCTGTGAAGACATGAACAAAGTTGCTCTTCATTCCCTCTGCATAAATGTTCTCAGCAATCAGTTTAGTGATGTAGTTCTTCCCTGTGCCGGTCCAACCGTGCAGAGAAAGTACCAGGGGCTTCTTTGGATTATTGTTGGTCATGAATCCATTCACAGCTTTCAGGATGATGCGTGTGGCAATGTGCTGCCCAAAAAGTTTGCTGTCCAGGTCAGCCTTGAGGCCTTAAAAGTACACAGCAGAGAATGATCACAGTGAGTGGATGAAGACCCACGAGCAACATTATAGGTATTTACATAACAATAACATAACTACAACAACTGCTAAAAGATTAACTATTGGTGCTGAGGTGTTGACGTTTCCTAACCTTCTCTGTCTCAATACTCATTAACATGAAGTAAACATTCTTGTTTAAAATGAAGTACTAAATAAATCAAGGCAATTTTGCTGCATAATGAGCTAATGCATGTTTCGGCAGGCAGCTATCTGCAGCTTGATAACAAAACATTACAGGGTGTGACCCTATTACAACATCACCGTGAGAATTACATTTGAACAGGTTTGCAAACTCAGAAAAGGTGACAGTAAACTGGCTATTTATATACCTTTCTCCCAAGACCCCACTTCACAGAACAACAAGAAATATATAGTAATTATGCTGAAGCAACATAAAGTGTAAATTTCAGAGATAGATCCAAATCTTCATTTCGTCGTTTCTCACCCGTGTCCCCAACCTCCAAGCTTCGTAGCCGTTTTACAGTAACTTCAATTCTATTGTTATCATATACATTTTTAATCGGTCTTAAAACAAACCGCCGGGAGAACACGTCAAACTTAATTTAGTTGAAGAACAAAATGGAAAGGATTCTTTTTTTACCTTTTGCATTGAAGTCTATCCAATTCGAATTGCAACTTTCACGTAAATAATGATAGATCTGCCGGCCCAGAGTTGCACCGACGCCGATAAACACTGTTGTTGTGAACGGGTCGAACGAGTTTACCAGGACGCAGCACGTGACGCACACGTACATCAACAAAAACAATCGTGCGGGTTTCATCTTAAAAGACAACAGATGCCGGACATTAGCCGCGTTTGCAGTGAAAACTGCACTAGAAACTGTATACAGTGAATACGCCTTTACTCTGCATCGCTCTTTTACAAGACAGGAACATCCGCATACGTCATCGACACATGACGGAAGTGTTCAAAGCCACTCCACAACACTTTCTGCACAGAATTAAAAATGACGCCCAAATAAGCGTTAACACACCAAACAGTTCATCTTATACACGAATAATAGTGAAAAACAGAAACAGTGCACTTTTGTAACACACAGTGTAAAATTTATATTTTGTTGAAATATAAATAAGCTGATTCTTTAGACATAGTTCCGTGTTTACAAATGTCCGTGTACACAAATGCACATCTCTACAAGCCGTTATTTTTTATATAATTAAAAGCATTTAGCTAATAAAATACGTATATTTTAAACAAACATTAAGTAGCACTTTGCATGTACAATGGGTGTGTTGCTAACGGTGTATCCAACCTTAACCCTAACACCTACAGCTGGTTCTACACCCTTACATATTTTAAATAAACACGGAAGTTATATTTATAACTGAAGCCCGTCATGTTCTGTACATGGGTTACCTGTGTAGTTGAACGAAATCCACTCGGGTCGACAGCACTCGTGGAAATAGTAAAAAATGTTTGGGTAGCTAGCTATGAACGCAGTCAGGGTCGCAGCCATTCCGACCGCGATGGTGGTGCTGATGGGTTCGATGGCCTCGGCCAACACACCGGAGCTCAGTAGTATCCACAGGAGAAATACGTGGCGTTTCTTCGGCTTCATATTTCACGAGTTTACGCTACTTATGAAGGTAAATGCAACGGCGCACTGCGTCTGTGCCAAAAAAGATGACAAACAGGCACAAAAGTGAAGTGACGTCAAAGTCCTAAGGTTCATCTCCTGTCACTTGTATTTGTAGCTTCAAATGAGCTAATGGAGGATAACATTTTTATATTCTTAATGGACTATTGTGACTTTCTTCAATTTTAGCAACACCGAACAATTTGGACCTTGGGATTAAATTTGGAAATATCAGTAGCTGTGTCAATTTCCAAAAAGGTAACACGGCAAGTTTTTATGTTGATGTTCGTATCCTTCATGGTTAATCAGTTTAAGGCTGTCTAGACTCATCACATTCACAAAAATTACAGTGATTAAAAAGTTGTGTTAAATGTGTTAGAAAATAAATTGTAAAAAATACAAAAATCAGGCAGCTGGCAGATGACCAATTATTAAAAAAACAAAAACAAAGAAACAAACAAAAACATCAAAGTCTAATACGTTTTTTTAACGCCAGAGCCCCACTGAGAAAAATGTTGTACAACACCTACCTAAGATTATTAAAATCTTGCCTGCATTAATTACATCTCTAAATGGTTGCAGGAAAGAGATTATTATTTATTTATTTTTACTAACAACAGCAGGGATTCTAAAGTAAATACTAACAACATAATTGAAGCTACCTATAACTGACTCTATAATAAAGTTAGTTTTTCGTTTGCAACTGTCGTTATAGTAATATAATTACAATTCTATATATATTCTATCTGTATTTACAAATCTATCTACGGGGAGAGAGAGGTTCATGTTTCACCTGTCGGAACCGTTTCTTGTTTCACTTACAGCTGAGGAGGCTTTACTTGATTAGCCTAACTTTAGACATTGAAAAAGAATACGTTTTCCTAATCTGTCTGGTAAGTGCAACCCCAAACAAGATGTAAATAAATCCTGTAAAATATAGCAATCTTAATGTAGGAAATATTTTGTTATGGGGTTCCAGGAAACGTACAGTTACACACTTACGACACAAGATGTCGCCAAATTTATTTTAAAGGGAGGGGAGAGTCCAATAAAGTAAAATATAGAAAGTACAGACCTTAAATCCTTCATCATAACAAAATACTTGAGAAATTAACTTTATGATCTGTGTGATATTTCTACCAAATTAGTGTAGACGTTATTAAAAAATACATGGAAGTGCCCTTTTCCAAGCTCCTTTTTTATGGGAAACATTCTCTGGGTCACTGCTGAGCTCCAGATGGGACCTTTGGATTCAGGCCTGAAAGCAGCAGTGTCAGCCGGACACGAAATTGCTGTGGGGGCGTTTGTGTGTGATAATCACAGCAACCTTAATTCTAAAATGGGTCCATGCACAAAGTGTGTCATTTCTAAGTGTAAACTGCAATCTTGTTTGTATCCATGATAAAGATGTTCTTTTAGTGAATGAGTGTTTCCAATGACCACTCCTTGTTGCTTCAGTGGTTTGTTGTGTGCAAACATACACACAGGGTCACGATGTTTCTTTTAATATAACACAGTGCAGTTATTGTATCATATGAAAACATTAGGAATTAAACATTTTACATTCATCACAAAGTGCGTCTTGCAATGATTACACACTTTTTTTTTACGGTTTACAAGCACACTCAGCAGACTTCAAGGTGTCAGGTTATGGGCTGCACAGGGTTATTTATAGCCGGAGACCAACCCTAACGTCATACAAACAAATCCAATCCCTCCATGTTTATCCATATTCATGACTCAAACCTCAACCATCGAAAACACAAGAATCATGCTTTATTGGCACCTGTCCCAAACGCCTACACTGAAAATTAGAGTTCTGGCTTCACTTGATTGGTTACCATGCATTTTAATATACAAATTAGAAAATGGTTAAAATGTCCAAAAATAAATAAATATTTATATATAATTTGAACCTCACCTGAGATCCTTAGTATAATCTTTAAAAATATTTTCTCAAAATTTTTTTATATGGCAAACTTTTTAATATATTTTTTGTTTGATTATTTTTTTCAATGTTTTTTGACTCCACCTTAGTCCTCAATGTTTTAGATATATCACCAAATACGTATGTTTCCAACCAAAATGCCTGATGAGTTAATGCTGTCAAAGTGGGGGGCAAGGGGCTGTTGGAAGGGAACACAGTAAAGCATTTAATTTTAATTTTTTGTTATTATTTTTGTTCCCGTTGAAAATTGCACTGAATTTTATTTTTTGTTTAATAATCTGATCTTCAAAAGGGGTCGCTGCAGAAAAGATGTGTTATCCGCTGGGTTGATGGGATAGTTTTAATGAAAATTTTGTTTCTGTTCTAAGACACATCACCAAAGATCAATGCCTGTAAGAGATAAAAATACTGTTCCTCCTTCAGAGTATAACACACTGCCCTTTGTTTTTCACTGATGCACTTGGCAAAGCCTGGGGCTCACCCCCTGGTTTTTCTGAAAGAGTTCCAGCTGGTTCAGTTGATTCAATGTGTACATCTTCTGGTCCAGTCTCTTGTATTCCTGGTTCACAACTGTCCACAGCTGTTGGTGGTGTTGTCTTTCTAACTATTATTTCATCACCTTCATCACTCTCATTTTGTTGAGCCTCAGTGCCGTCTGCAGCAAGTGGATATTCAAATGGCATGACTTCATCTGAGGAGTACATTGTCTCTGATTCTTCTCCGTCCTCCACAGTCTCCTCTGCTGTTTCCTTCCCTCGTTCACTCTGCTCAGGCTCACCAGCTCCTCCATTTTCTTGTGTAATGATGTCAACTGGAGTCAGAGGCGTTAAGTCCAGACATGCCTTTGGAGTTGCCTTTTTTCTGGGCGGGGCCACTGGCTTCTCCATTTCTGAATCATGTTTCCACCGTTCCTGATCTGAATGGCTGCTGAAGTTTTCGTTATCCAGGGTTTCTGGATAGTCTTCTGTGCTCCCCCAATCTAATTCGTCTAATGGGAGGTTTGAAGTGCTGAGTGGATCTATGGGGATCACAGTGACTTTGTCATCCTTTATGGAGACGCTCTTGTTTTTAGTAGCTTTAACCTTAACTTCCGTATCATCTTCGTCAAAGGTTCGGGTGAAAGGCTCTGTATCACATGGAGAGGAATTGGCACTGGACCTGAAGAAATCTGTGATTTCTTCCTCTGAGTTTGGCACTTGACTTTTTTCAGGCTTTGACAAAAGACCAAAATTATACACATCTTGAGTCAGTACCCGTGGACCTTCCTTAGGGCCTTTTTCTTTATCAGTTGTTTCAACCTCCACCGCAAGAGTCTCATCTATGAGCGCGTATTTCTCCAAATAGCCCCTGGCCTCCCTGTCTGAATGCCTGCTGTGAAAGGACTTCTCAGAAGTCATGCTTTCTGTATCCTCTTCTTTTTGTCGACTTCCAAGTGCTTCCTCATACAGGTCTGTGTAAAGGAAAGCCATGGCCTTGGGTTCCTCCAGCAAAATGGGGTCAATGATTTTTGGAGGTCCTTCAGGTAGAAATATGGGAGTCAAAACATCCTCATCCCTTCCAAATAAAGCTGACCCGCTTTCTTTTGAAGGGACTCTAAATGGTGTGCCTTTGGTGTCCACACCTTTGACCTCTCTGTCCAGACTCTTCATGAGGTTATCGTCTGTACTGCCGTAGAACACCTCATCGAGAAGCTCGCTGCTGATTTCCTGCAGGCTAACAGTGTCCAGTTTGTCATTATCCACAGCTATTGTGAACCTGGTGTTTGTAGACTGTCCTGATTTCTCCGAGGTTTTACTCAGCGCTGCATTGTCAGCCTCCTCTTCCACTTGTCTCACCGTTACTACAGCAGGACTTCCTGGAGCCGGTGCATCAATGAGAGTGAATGCTTCAAAGTAGTCCATATTTCCAGAAGGTCCTCCAACGGCCACTCTGGGGACTGGGGCCCCTGGAGGATCCATTGCATGTATCCCTATTGGCTGAGAAACCTCTACCTGTATAGGTATTGGTGCAGCCAACCCTGGTGGGGTGTTTAGGAACAACAGCTCATTATCATTAGTCTCTTCACTGGCTTTAGGAACAGGACTTTCTTCCAGGTATGACAGGTTGTCTGCCATAACTCTGCTTTCCTCTTCATCCACAGTGGCCAGTTTTGGCGGAACAACAATGTTAAGGATTTCTGAACCCTCAGATACCACACTGAATAGTTGTTCTTTATCTATGAAAGGGTCAGCCAGTTTCTTGTCCTTGGATCTGACATTTGGCTCAGAGATGCCCACTAACTCAGGACGTCCCGTGACGTTCTCAGAGCTATCATCGCGTTCCTCCTGTGCTCTCTTCTGAGCGCTAACTCTTTCTTTACTTTTCTTTCGTCTGGAAATCAGCTCATCATCCATGACAAAGATGATCTTTCCTGCCGGGACAGGCGCAGGTTGCATGGCAGAAGAAGTGCCATCCATCGTCGAATATCCAGCTTCCGATGCCCACGGTGTGCTGCAGCGACTTGGGGTTGTCTCCCATGCAATCCCGCTGTCTTCACCTTGCATGGTTACCATGGAGAATGAGGTGTCCATCATCAAGCACTGCATTTTAGGTTGGACATTGTCGTCATGGACAACTTCACGTAAGCTAAAGTCAGAATTACACAAACAAGATGTCAGTGAGATAAAACAATCCATAATTATTGCCTGATCATAATTATTGCTGCAGTGAATAACTGCAGTCAGTGGATCAGTGTTGTCTACACTGGGACTTTTTATATTCAAATTTTGCCCTACTTAAGAAAAATGGTAATCAAGATTAAATATGCAGTTCACATCGCGCTTATGGAATGTAATTGTTCAGACTTTGGGGTATCTGTTTTTATGTATTTGTACATAAAAAGTAAGCATCTGACTTTCTTGTTAACATTTCAGATGTATTTAATATCAGAAAATATAGTAATTTTGATACAAAGGTTTGTAATATAATTTCAGCATATGATTTGAAATTGTTGAGTCTAATTAACAAGTAAAAGGTTTGCACCTGTTTTGAAGGATCTCTACTTCATCGGTGGCTTCAAGATGTTCTTCTGCCAAGTCTTCGGGTGACAACACCCTCATCTCCGTGTCCACCTCCGACTGTGCGAAATCTTCTGTCACTGTATCCATAATTGTGTTATCTTGATAAATTTGCTGTAGCCTCTCAACACAACGCAGTGTTGTTCTGTCGATCACATTCTAAGCAAGCGAGCCTGAGTCCGGTCACCGTGTTCAGCCTGAACTTGAAATAGAAAACTGGTCTTCCAGTGTGTCACTGAAAGCATTTGCAACATGCGGAGAAGTTAATTTGTCACATGTTCACAGTCTGTCCACCTTTGTGTTTGGCATTTAAAATAATGCACCGTTAATCTGAGTTAATATGTTGTTAACTATGGGTGACAACAACTGTTAAAAAAGGTAAATAGCATTAAGTGAATGCCTGGGTCTAAATATAATT